AAAATAGCTTTTTCCCCTATCATAATATCAAAATAAATTATTTTCCTATTCATATAGAACATTTGTGTGGGATATTTTCATAATGCATTCATTCTGAAGTAAGCACAAGATGCAAGAAAATACTTCCTTTGATATATACAAACAGAACAGTTCAGTATGTTTTTTTATATATTTATGTTATCCGGCTACAATTTATTGATTTTCAAAATACACACACAATATTTTATTTTAATCATATTTGCATTTAGAGCCGTGCCGACTTGAAATACGTGAGCTTGACTAATACAAAAGTTTATTTTATTGAAATTATTTCATTCTTTTTAGAGCGTTTGACGTCGGTTGTATTTTTTTACAAAAAAAAAAAAATTTAATGATTTTTAATGACTGTATAATTTGTTATATATTAATTAATTACTTGAGTTTTTTTGATACGCAAAACTGTTTGAAACAATCAAAAGTGCCACAGAACAATGATTATTTTAAAACTGCTTGAGGGTATAAATATAAACATTTTTAGATATTCCTTAAAAAACAAAGGGTGGTCCATTACATTAGGCCTAATGAAAAACTAAATGTCTTTTCTAGAGACATTGAAATGTCAGACACAATCGTTTCCTATAATCGGTGTACTTATACATTATAAAAATAAATACAGTAACGTCTCAAGCCTTTTGGAACAATATGAAAGTTATTCCTCAGCTACCAGCACTAAAAAATCTCTTAAAAGTAGAAAATTGGTTGTTATCACGTATAGTAGGCCTACATTTGGAAAATATATATATGAAAGATTGATTCAGCTAAAAGTGGTGTAAGCCGGGTAGGTGGTTTTGTTTGCTGAAGATGTAGTCGAAATTGCAAATCAGCTTCCTCTATGACTTTCCGAAGCAGGCATTATAGTTTTGATATGATATAGTAACTGGTTAGAGAATATTAATAAACATTCCACATCTACAAATGCATGTTTAGTAATGAAAATATTTAACACTTTTATTTAAGACAATTGACGATTATGCACTCTCACACTTCTTAGGTCATGTAAGGAATAATTGTATTTAATTTGTATTTAGACTTCTTTTACGAATGATTTGGTTTTCACAATACACCTTTATTTGTCAATATCATACTATCATTCACTAAAACATATATGTTTTTATAAGTCAGAATATTCAATACCTAAAACAGAATTACTGTATACACAAATCAGGTCAAACGTTAAAATACCCTTTTTATAGTAACCAAAACAAATGCATTTTTTCAATGTAATTTATTTAGGCTCCATGGCAAGAAATAGTTTATTAATCAATATGAAGCAACTGTTTCGTGAAGAATTGTCTGTAGCTTCATTTAAATGGTTTCAACTAACAGCTGTAGGAATGTTATTAGAATGTTATTATTATTTATTGCCTTCTCTGCACAAATATAAACAAAATAAATATTGAATATTTGTGGTTTTCAGTATTTTTTACCGATACAAATATTACATTTGAATTGAACATAATATATATATGGGACAAAATAGAAACTCTCCTGGTTATTTTGGTAGTGGAACCACACTGATCGGTAAAAGAATCACAGAGAAATTGGTGAACATACATAGAAAAAAAACATCGCCATAAACAAATTGAGAACCTCCTCCTTTTGTTGGTAGTGGGGAAGTCGGTTAAAAATTATTGATAACATAATTACTAAAGTACAATAAAAATCATTATTTTATATCGACTAAAGTCGTTTGAAGGAACAAATTATTGTTTACTATACCATTTGTTTAATTAAAAATGTTTAAATCAATCCTATCTTTCCACTTGGTGTTAGAGAATAATATATACTCTAAAATATACAAAATACTTAATCATTAACGAGAATTATTCATGAATAAATTAGTTCAATTCAGAAAAAAACACATAAATCAGAATGTTTAAAACTGCTCGACCAGTTAAACCAACATTCAATTCGGTACACGACTGCAAACAGCTGATTTCAACAGATTAAGTTTATCAGGCAACATGGTTGAATAAACATAATACGATAGCTAAATAATTTAATCCATTAGGCTTATTTGTTTTTTTCAATAAATTAATTATAATTTATTTTAAAACGTAGTCAGCCTCGTTAACTATTACTAGTTTATTTTTATTATTGTTGTTATTTTTTATCATCGTTTACTAACTTCCAAAACACAGACCTTTTTAAGTTCTTCAAGTTTTTTTTAGTTTTTGCCAGACTTTTAAGACATTTTCAAGTGTGTTTATTTTAAATAAGTTTTATTTTTTAACCCACGTTTATTTTAAGTATACACCTATTCTTACTATCCAAATGAACCATAGTTCATACCGTAGTTAAATGCAAAAACAAACATAAAAGTTATTTCTTTATAAAATGGGTTTACCTACAACAACGCAATTAATTAAATCTTCAATGTGTTTTTTTATATTATTTAAAAATAAAAAATAAATGATAAAACGCGTTGAATAGTTACTCACCGAAGCGGAGTGGTGTGCAAATGCGTGCGAGGCTAGGTACGGAGTGAGTGTGGCGCTATTTTGGCATCAGGAACAGTGGAAATGGGCCATCCTGAGCTCTCGCTGACGGATGCCGAGGATGCCGATTGATCACAGGGACTGGCGGCCTCGGCTAAAACTAGCCCGGAAACCTTCGATTTGGCATTGATGAACTGTATTAGGTTGGACTGAAGATGAAGAAGAAACAGATTGTTTGCTCGTAAATTTGTTTAGGGATAACGTAAATATTGTGCACAAAGACTCGATATTCTGTTGAATTGATTTGAGATTAAAATTAACACTAGTTTTGGATGTATTTTAATTAAATTAAAATTTTGTTGTGCCTTAGGGATATAGTTTTTTATTATTACATTGTTGCAATAATAATCATCGAAGTATAATGAACAATCTCTGTATTAAATACCACTTTGTTTTAGAATTTCTGAAAAAATGTATTCAGCATATGAAGGTATTTGGCATATGAAAACTTAAGTCCTCTACTGAACCATGTACCTTTGCGTTTTCACCCTTCACGAGAAATATAAAAAATCAGCACACCTTTAACACAACATCAAACGTATTTGGCCATTGTAGTTAACGTTAATTTGGTTATAAATTCTATAGTTGAAAATGACACATTAAAATATTAAGTTTTTTTTTTAAATAATGATTTTGAGTTTAGTATGGCTGAAAAATAAAGTTTATACTTACATTTTTATTACCTTTTGAGGGTTAATAATAAATGTAGCACGCCCTCAACTGAAGAGCCAAAAGGCTAGAGCGTGTGGCTTAAGTTTTGTGGTAAAACATTAATTACCAAAATAAGTTTTAGGGGTTGTTACACTTAATTAATTTTGTTTTTACTCAAGATTTCGTAGAAAACCTGAAATAATCTATGATTAGTCCGAATTACAGTAGTTTAAAACTCATTTATATGCCATTATTATATTTAATCGACAATAACTGCTATATTTCATGGACAATATTGAACAGCCGCGTAAATTGGTGATAAATTCAGCTTTGGTAAGCAGCGATAGAATAAATTTTAGTTGTTTGTGATTTTCAAAGCCATTGTATATGATACAAGTTTTTATTAGAGCTAACGTAACGCACACATTTGTTCACCATATGAACTGATTTTAATATTATTGTTCCAACGGTGTAAAACAAAAGTTTGAAACAATGCTTGTGAGAGGTACAAATATTGTTGATTTTCACAGAACATTACCCATTTCTGCTGGAATGGTCTGACATTGCCAACAGAGCTAATACTTTGTGATCTATGGTTCATTTATCACTTATAGTTTGTACCCAGGAGTGCAGAATTAAATGATTCGGATTAATATCATTTGGTAAAGAAAACATGATGAATTCACATTAACCTTTGTTGTAATTGGACGAGTCCTTGTAAAAATGTTTGTTTCGCCTATGTTTTTCCACTTTGTCTGGCATCTTCTTTGTCTGGGCTTTGATGAATTAAGATGGATTAAGATTAATTAAGAAGTCTCCTGATGATGCTTCACAAAGTGGAGAAATGCGAAGGGTGACACACATTTACCTACAAGAAATCAGGCAACAACGGTATATCTAATACAATTCAAGTTCTTGAAACTGTGATAAAAAACATTTTTATGACGAATACAGTAATGAATCATAATACAAAAATTGAAGGGTCGTTAATTGTAAGGCTTATATGTTTTGGAAGCTATATAGTTTTTGGTACGTTTACTATTTCATGGGACCTAAATTGATTGGACATATTTAGATTAGAGGTATTTTTTTATTATTTTATTAATTTTAGAATAAAACATTGATTTGGGTTGCTTATTGGACGAAGCGACATTTCTAAACATCGCTTCCTTTGGCTGGTGTGAATATTTGACTTACTATGTGTGCTAATGTCTTAAAAATACATCTTGGAATAATTATTTGATGAAGTTTGTTATTCTCACTATAGGCTATTAAGGAATTTTCATTAATAATATTTTTTTACCATACCGTCACAATAAGAAGACATATAATATGTAAGATGAAATTAGGATAATAACATAAATAATATTTATTTGTTCAAAGAGTAAGTATATGAGAAATTAAAATTGCTTTCTATAAGTGCATTGCACTTTATCAATAAACGGTATGTAAAAAATGTTTTTCAATCTCTACATTCAGAACCTTTTAATATGCTAGATAAACAAATGGATCTTTGCTTGAAAATCCAATTATTAAACTGATTTATAATTCATACACGGTTTATAATCCTCTTTGTAGGGTTAAAATTTTGTAATGAGTTTGGTATCATATGGTTATATAATAGTAAGTAACTCACTTACATTCAATTGAAAATATATGTTAGTAAATAGTAATAGGACAACTTCTTTAAAAATGAAGCCAGTAAAAATTGAAAAGGTGATTTACCTCATACTTGTAAAATTTGTAAGTGAATGTGACCACTGGCTCAATAAATGTCAATGAAGTAGGTTTAGGGGAAAATAATAGTGTTGGTTACAATGTAAGACACAATTTTATTCTTCATCGTCTTATTTTACAAAATGTATAACAACTGGCATTACTACTGGTACGTATTAAAACTTCCGAACCATGACTCTTTTCACTCCAGCCATAAGTGAAGTCGAATTCGAACGAGATATCGAGTAGTTTAGGCTGAAACACAATATCATATATCACATATCGTATATCAAATATCTTAGAACAAATATCATATATCAAATATCACACAGCAAAAGAGTTGGCATTTGACATTCACAACAAATGCTTTGTAAAAATTAATAATGTCTTGCTAGTTACTTGACGAAAATAAACGTTTGTGAAACATTAAAATTGTGGGATATTAATATCCATTTCATGGCCATTTGGTTACTATCAGACCCCATTACCATTAAAGTAATCCCCCATGTAGGGATTACATTTTCTATTATTATGGGGTAAAAGTTTTAGTTAAATTAACATAATAGTCAAATAAATACAATAGTTTGGTAAAGATGAAGCTTACAGTATATTATGCAGTTTTTGAGTCTGAGCAGGCAGTATTTGATTTTTATTTCGTATCCAATAAGAACAAAAGCATGTAATTTTGACTTATTAGACCATGGTGTAGTTCAAAGAGGCTATGTAAACAACTTGTTTGCTTGGCTTGTAAACACTAAATTTATTGATAAGGGAAAAATCATAGTTTTTTTTTTAATTGAACTTATTGAAAAATATCATACCCATAAAAACTTACTTTTTCCATCTTAAAGCTTTTTTAAAGTACTAATAACAGAATACAAATTAATTACCAATACGAAACAAACAACAAACACATGCAATGTGAAAAATAATTTAAAAGAACAACCAAATAAAAATAAATGCAATAAAAGTAACACAAAATGTTTCACAATTGAATTACATAAATTATTTGCAGAAGTAGTTTAAAAATGAAGTAAGAAAATAATAATCATTTGTATACTTTTTAATATAAAAGTCCACTAGATGGATGTAGTAAAGGATAGTGGACAAGTACACGGCTCAAACATTAGAATTTCTTGTCAAACGTAAGCAACATTTATGGGTGTCTGACCTATCAAAACTCATTCATCTATTTTAACACATAAACATTACACTCATGCAAAAAAACACACGTATTTTTACAGACATTTCTATCTTCATAACAAAAAAAAGTACTATTATTAAAATATGGCCTCTTCTAATACAATGCTTCGGCAAGACAAAAGTGGCAACACCGCATTCACGGCCTACCGAAACAGCTGTTGCACTAATTCATAATGGAGCATCATATGTGCAAAGTTTAGGCTTGCACGGTTGTAATTACATGTTATTGCCGTAGCAATCGGTCGGCCGATGCGAAGTTGCCACACATCAACACCGGCCTTGTATTAGAGGAGGTTATGGTTAAATACATGCAGTAGGCCTAGGTTACATTCATGCTAACACCAACGTAAAATATCTGCTTTAAGATATTAACTACATAATTTGGTTAAAAGTTACACAAAACAGGTGAGGTGACTGGTATGATGATTGACATTTTTATAGAATAACATAAAAAGCTTAAGTCAGTTTCATCACATTGATAAATATTTATTGGTTTAATTTCTGGTCAAGAGTCTGAAAATATCAAGTCTTAGTAGTTTTACAGCTAAAAATGCATTTCTTATCAAATTTAAACCCATACAAGAAAATAGTGTGCGGTTGAAATGATTTAAGTAGGAAAGCTTGTCTATGTGCTGCTAGTACAGGATTATATTTGTTTTAATTGTAGGATGTTTTACCTAGGTACTAGAAAACGATTACTTTTAAAATTCAACATGACCTTAGTAGTCATAAAACTTAAAACCGTTAAAATTAAGACTAAATAATCAAGTAAAGGCAATGCAGCTTCTTTAAGTAAACCGAGCAACTCAAAATTAAATAAAACTATATACACATATGTACAACCAGTAAAACATACAAAAAACTTACGTGAACAAATCTGTACTCATCACAGAAATTAGTAAGTGCACTATTTACAGTATGTACAGTACTATGGTAAACAAAATTTGTGGAAAAATTGATGAGGCGAAACAATAGATATTGAGTTAAATCTTTAAAAACCTGTGTAAAATAATCGTTTGGATCCGTTCAAACCCCCCAATTTTAAAGCAATTGGAAAACACTTAAGTTGTATTTACCTTTTTATATTTAGAAAAAATTAAAGCGGTATAACGTAATACTAAAAAAGTTTAAAAACTACGACAAGAAATCAAATTGTTTTTAAACCGTAAAAAGATCTTTGTCAATCATCACTTTTGTCACCTCACCTCTTTTTTTGAGCAGATTCGTTGTCGGATTCGGTGATCTTTGATATATCGTTAGACTTGGTTCTCTGCTACCATGCCCCAGCCCAGAGGGTTGTCCAATATGGCGGCCACCATGGGCCCGCTGTACTTAGGCTCCGCTGCAACACACCGCATACTCACCATAGGCCTGTTTTTGATAGGCCTTATAGGCTTAGGTAATTGATAGTTTATATATAACTGTTCCATTAACTGGGGAAGCTCTGAGTGTTCTCCAATTTCTTATATTTCTAAATGCAGTTGATATTTGGACTCATCGTTTGGACATTCTGTCAAACATGATATGAGATGAGGAACAATGAGACGCAGTGAATCCGTTTAAAGATGAAAAGTAGGCATCTAAAAGTAATTGAGTAAAATATCTAAAGTAAAAAAAGGTTTCCCACGCACACCCTAAACATGATCTTTAAAATCTTAAAATCTTTGTTCTTAAGTGTCACAAAAAATAAATACATGTCTGTTGACACTTTCAAATTATTTATCGTACTTATTGAACGTTAAAAATCTACTAGAAAGGATGCCTATATGAGATGAATTACTTAATGAAAATTGAAATGCAAAATTATTTGAAGGTTGGCAAAAGTGTTGATTATTTAAAGACTTTTGCAAAAACTGTTACTGACTCTCTGCAAACATGTTAGTACCACACAGCACTTGTTGAATACCTGGAGCCTCTGGAGCTGGGGCTGGAGCAGGCTCGGGAGCAGGGGCTGCATCAGCAGGGGTGGGGGTAGCTTCAGCAGGAGCCTCCGTGGCAGGCGCTTCAGCAGGAGGGGCAGGAGCTTCTGCAGGTGCGGGAGTATCAGCAGCAGGAGCGGCTTCGGCTGGCGCAGCCGCGGCTTCTGCAGGAGGTGCGTCAGCAGGTGGCGCTACAGCATCGGCTGGTGGCGCTGGAGCTGCCTCAGCAGGTGCATCAGCGGCAGGTGCGGGTGTTGCGTCAGCAGGTGGGGGAGCAGCGCCATCCGCAGGAGCCACAGGAGCACCCTCTGCCGGTGCCACTGGTGCAGGGGCCGCACCCTCTGCTGGTGGCGCCCCTTCAGCTGGTGGTGGTGCTGAGCCATCAGCTGGGGGTGCTTCTCCTAGGGCTGCAATAGTGTCACAAACTGTGTCATTCATGTTATTCGTTGAAGATATGGTAACAAATTAAATTTGTTTGGAAAATGAAGTGAGAACATCGACATCGAACAAGTTAGTTTGAATAAACTGGCTCTCTGAACTTACTGTATAAGTTTGATAATGACATCTGCGTTAGTTTGTGCACATGCATCTCCATATTTTAAAAATCCAGACCAACCTAGCAATACGATGTCTAAGGGGGTTATCATGCCATCTAAGTCCGTACCCCAATCTGACTAAAATACAGTTGCTGCCATGAATAGCATTATGGTTAATCCTTATGTGTATAATACGTGAAGGCGATTTCTACGAAACACTACTCCTCCGTTAATAAAAGATGGATTTTTACAAACCATGTGTCAAAATTAAGTATTTTTTGGGTAGACGCCCCCAGCATTGCTGTAATGAAAGTCTTCGGGCTTCGCCCCACAGGCCATCAAAATCCCAATATATTTCTTATACTAAACAAACGAATAATTTGTATTGATTACAGCTGTTCATAGTAAACACATTATACACAAAAGAACGTTCGTTGTCAGAATGAGTTCGTTATCAGTTTCAATAATTGGAGTGGAACAAGCGTTCGTTTTCAGAGTGAGTTCGTTTTCAGTTTCGATAACTGGACTGGAGTGATTGATTACATTATCTTTGAGTTGCTTTTAAGTCATCGGACATTTTTACCGTTATTCGTTTTGAAATAATAATAATAATACTAATAATAATAAATCTTTATTGTCGTTTGGTAATATAAACATTACAATAGACAAGGTCAAAATGTTTTGTTACATATGTTATATATATTAAATATTCTACAGAAAATGTTAAAATAAAGTTAAAAGAATCTTAAAAGGATAAAGCATCAGTAATAATAACAACTTTGAAATTAACAGGGAAAAGACCATAACAAGAACAAAGAATCATCAAGACTGCTCGGCCTCACATTTAAGCGTTGAAAAATCTACTTTCTGCAAAAACTCCTCAACTGAATAAAAAGCACGACTTGTAAGCCAATCTGATAATTTTGACCTATACAAATGAATACTTTCCTGATTTCTAAAATATATTGGAAGTTAATTAAATAGTTTTATTTGCAAATATTTATAACTTTTGATAAATTTTGATAGCCCGGCTTGAGGAATATATAAATCTTTTGATTGTCTGGTGATATACCCATGGATTGAGTTGCAAGAAATCCTGTTAGATCTTAAATAACACCTGTAATACTTGCAACTGCTCGAATTCGAGCAACAGGTGCACTAGTATTCTGTAATGCTGATACCCACTGAACAGTTTCGAATATGGTTAAACACCAAGCATTAATTTCTCGACTAATGTAAACAAATATTTTCTCCATATCTTAACTTTCTCCATGTTTTAACATGGGGAATTTAAAGGCCACTGGGACAGAGCCCTGATGTCATTTTTTAACGCTTTTTATTGCAAACTTTTACAGTAATACACGATTAATTATTTAATCGCCTTTCTTCGGACTATCATCAACTGTTTTTTATACCCAAATCATTTACTAATAGACCTATGATCTGGGAAAACTATGTTTTATTTGTGATCTTCAAAAGTAGGCCTACATCAAATATAAAATAAATTAACTGAATAAGAAAAGACTTTGCACGTTCCAGATTAAGCTCAATGGTTTCAAAAACATGCACATAAGCACATAGAGCAGTTGTTTTACTCTTCTATTCAGTTTTTTATTTGTTGCTTACCAAGACCGCCCAAATCTAAACTCTGAGATCTCTTGATGGACGCCTCCACTACGGGTTTCAGGTATCCAGGAGGTACTTGTTGTACAGTGTCTATCATTTTCTTGACTAACTCCTCCACTGTCAGTGGGCAGGCGGTTGTAATTGCTTCCTTCAGGTACTGCCACAATTCTGGAAACCAAGGTGATACATGGGTTAAATAAAAGCGATCAGCGATCTGACACATACTCTCTCCCTTAAGCTTGTTTACCTTTATCATTGGTAAGCGGTAGGAGTAACTGTGATATTTTATGGTTAAATCGCGAAAGTTTCAATAACTTCTTAACTGTAATTTTATGGTGTTTTGTTTAGAGTTGAAAGGGCTATAACATAACAAATATGTGAATCATATTCGTTTAGGTCGTATTTGTAAAGATTATGGAGGTAATATTTAGCTATTTAATGGAACTTTATGTGAAATTCACGGTCAAAATCAAAATTTCAAAGAAATAAAAAAGGCTCCTAGAGATGCCATAGATTTGTACCCACATACCAAATGTCTGTAACTCTGTACTCATCCAAACACACAAACAAGCACAAACAAACACTCACATTAATAAATTAGAAAGACACTTTTCTGGGTTCATGGGGACCCAAAATGGATATATCCCCCCAAATCTCAAACTCAAAAGTTTTGACGAAATCAATACTTTCTCCTTATACTAGGTTCAGATTTTTTTCCGTATAGGAGGAGAAAGCGAGGATAAAATAATTAAACAGCGTTTTTAATATTTTACAGGATTTTTGTACCGAATCTTAGAAACCCTATCTATTATATAGTATTTATTTACTCCCTACGAAGTAGTTACTTATTGGCTAAATGCATAGGTTGGATTCTAAATGATTTCAAGTACCGTAATACTCGAAAAATATTATTAAGAGTATAGTTTGGCGAATTTAATCTTACTGGCCAATAGTGTACTAATTGGTAGTGAAATAATAATAAAAATAACATTTGTTGGTTTCAATATATTGAAAAATATTGATGGTATATTAATGGTAAATTAAATAATGTAAAGATTTTTAAGTAAAATTTCCAAAAAAGTGTCAAGTATAAAATTTTAAAATTCAAGCAAGGTTAAAAGTGATTTGGTTAATTAAAGGTATACACGTATGTCTGAATATATTTTGTACATAATTTGTCGTTTTCAAAGTTTTGAATTCGTCCCCAGGTATAAAAACGTCTTTTGCATAAATATTGTCATTGAATCTGTTATTTATAACGTGACATTAATATAACGATTGTTCAAACATACCCTCCTCGGTGTGTTCTGGTTCTGGGGGTGGGGGTGGTGGCTCTACAGGTTCTGGTGGTGGTGCCTCGACTGGTGGCGCTCCTTCTGCTGGTGGCGCACCTTCGGCAGGTGGTGGGGCGCCTTCCACTGGGGGTTCTCCCTCGGCAGGTGGCGCTCCTAGAATAAGGGGAAATTTTAATTTTTTTTTTACTTAACAAAAGGTTGACACTAACATAGGCTACAATCTTTCTCTGCCAAGATTAGCTTTATAAAAATAAATATAAATTGATAAACATTGAAGTGAGTAGATTAGAGTTATCGCCTCTCTGCTATATTTATTGCTTTATGGTAGATTTCCATATAAAGAAACATGCAAGTAAAAAAAACAAAAAAAAACTATTCTACAGAATTGAAGAAGTTGTCTCTACATAAACACAAACTGAAGCACAATATTTTGTTGCAGTATTTATGAACGACTTTTGAATCTGCAACTTAGACGCTTTTACATGAATAATCTTTAAGAAAATACGACTTCAAAAACTTCCTTATATTTTTACGCTAATCCTGTGGACATTTACAAGAACTTGCTCTTACCAATATACAGAAATAAATATAATATAAAGAAATATACATAGTAGTGGTATAATAAATTTATTGAGTTTTCATCAAAACCCATCTTCAGCCTTTGGTAACAACATAATATCAGGTAAATAAACTATGATTTTTTATGTTTGTTTATAAATTAACATATGTTTGAATTATTATAAAATTAAGTTAGTAGGAAACAAATTTGTTCTATATTATGTAGATATCACAGTTAACTTATTATTGTTTTACCGATATTAATTTTGTTCGTGAACTTAATGTTAACTTAGGCACGAGCCTGGGATTGTTTTTTACATTACTTCAGGCTAAACCTATGGGTTGTAGCATTATCACTTAGGTAAAATTCATTGGTGATTTGATGGGATTGGGACCCGGGACCTCAGGGACCGAAGTCCCGCGCTCTAACCACTAGACCAGCTCACTCTCCAGCTTGTATGCTATGTATGTTAAGGGTTGTTTCACTATACCCTCTGCAGGTTTCTCTCCCTCGGCCGCAGGTGGCGCTCCTTCTACTGGTGCGGCGCCGTCTACTGGCGCTGGCGCAACCTCGGCGCCCTCTCCCGCCGCAGCCTTCTCCTCTGCCACCTTCTTTTCCTCTGCCTCCTAGATATTGTGTACATTAGTTAAATACAGTATTTATATTCATCTGCAGTGGTGTTTTATTTATTTTAGTGGCAAAACTGATATTGTCTTATTCTTTAATGCGATTTATGTCTACAGCGCTTTAGTTTATTGTCTAGAATAAATATAACTATGCGATAAACTTAATGGGACTTGAATGAAATATATACGTGCAAGGGAAAAAAGAATGTATTCTTTACAGATTTTGTGTTTTTTGTAGTTGGCGTAACAATATGAATCCTAAAAAAAAACTTAAATTTGTTTGGTTATTTTGTTACCAATAAACCGCAAAGAAACATATTTTATAATATCTTGCTTGGTTTTGACACAGGAAGAAAGCGGAACTAGCCGCAAACTTGTTCAAAGTACTATGGTGTTGTTTCATCTGAGTATTTTAGACAATTATTACATTTTCCAGGGCTTGAAAAAAGACATGGACCATTTTTGTTAAATGGAAATTAAATAGCGTACACGAGGCACAGTTGTTTGTGAAGTAAGCATCCAATTAAGTGGCAATGACCAAAGTCAATAACCTAATGCTTTGGGCGTTTTATGTCCAAAAACATTTCTTACTGCGAAGCAAAACAGCCAAAGTTATCCTTCTGTTCCAGTTCAATTAAATTAATTTACTCACCACCCTACAGCAATTCTCACCCTTTTCTTTTTCTGGAAAGAAAATAAAGTTGTTAAGTAGGCTAAAACATTGTAAAATTACCTTTTTTAGTTCAATGTTTACAAAAGTAAAAGGTATTTGCGTAATATAAAGCTGAGTTTTGCATTTAAGGAAACTTTTTTTGCAGGTTATGTGATGACCAAAACCCAATAAATAAATATAATTGTAATAATAATATGAATATTTACTGTTTCAATATAATTATTGTTCTTAATAAATTAATACATTACTTTTTACTTAGCTTCAAATGTACAAGAATTCTTTGGAAAATTTACCTCTTCATCCTTCAGGATAAAGTCTGGCTTCTTGACCATCTTCAATTGGTTTCTGAAGTTGTATTCTGCTGCTTTCCTCTGAAGCTTAGCGAATTTATTTTCATACTTGGACACCTTCTTTAATACTGGCTTTTGGCTGTAATGATATAAGCACACATTAATTGTTTCTCATGAAACGTTTAACAAATTTGAACTCATTAAACTAAAACGTTCAATTTTTAAATACATTGATGAATACAATTCTATAACAAATTGACGTAGGAAGGACCAAACAATTTACCTCCTATCGACACATTTAAAAATTTTCTCAACGCTCTTAAAACAAAGGATTTTAAACGTTAAAAATTATGAGTAATTCCTAGAAATGGGTCCTTCTACTTGTATCGAAGAAGACACCGCTTGCTCATATTGTTATTAATTTCTAATATATCACGTTAAATAACTTTGTGTAAAATTTTTAAATGTGCTGGTAAGATGGGTTGATACAAGAAAATCCATCTTATGGAATAATATGGTATATAAAAAACACATTGTTCAAGAGAAAGTTAAAGTGATGCAATTTTGTTGGTTATTTTTGGAAATGATGATAACTGTATAAGGAATGCTGTAAAAAATATAAAAAAATAATAAGAGCCAACACAAAATATTACTTGACTGTGTTAAATTTAGTCTTTCATCTCAGTTTAAAGCTTCCAGCAATAGACTCAGTACTAAGCCGAGAGAAAGTAATATAACTTAAAATATTTACTATTACACTTTCTAAACAACAAAACGAGACAGCAGGTTTTCATCGAATTCTTCCAATAAATTCAATTCAGCGCTTTTTTCTATTGTAAACCTAATGCGCAGTTTATATATGTTGTTTGTTATATAATAAGTGTGTTATATAATCGAAGCTTCAAGCCTCTTAAATCAATAAATATCTCATTTTCCTGTCAAACAGTTATAGTACAATATATTGTAAACAATCCAATTAATGGTTTCGACGAAAAAAATCCAAATAACATATCTTTATTAGGCTTTTAGCTTTAAATTTAATATATTATTTAACAGGATTTTATACATGTGGAATAAAATTAAATACTCACAACTTTCCTCGTAGGTCGTTTACTTGAGAAGTGATTTCTTCAATCTGCAAAATAAACATACAAAAATAATTTGATAAATATAAATAAATTCCATGCTGTTTATATATGTAGTTATACCGTAGATTTTCTCATCATGTTGCGGAACGGTATATACTATGAAACGTTATTTTAAGTAATGCATTCAGAACGTAAAATTATTGTTTCTTAGGGTAACGTAATTTAGGGAGTAAATTAAGATTTCGTTGGCTTAGGCCAGTAGAAACTTCATTAATACACTATTCATTATGTATTCATGGAAAGTCAAAGTCATTAAAAGTAAATTTTGAGTTGTTTACATGATATGTACGGATTAGTCTAGAACGAAAATACCTTCTCAATATAATTAGAGGTTTAATCTATTTGATCATTTTTCCATCTAAATGTTTAAGTACTGTAATATGAAATAATTAAGTAAACCGTAATTAGTCACAAAGTTAGGTGGGTGGGACTACTTTAATGTACTACGTTAGGGTCTAAAATATTACCTTAAAATATAAACTTCCTACACAAGAATTAAGTTAGTCAGTAGTCAAGCTGAAACATCTGATATCTTGAATCTATCATGTGATTTGATATTTTAAATAGTGATGAAAATCATACAGAACAAAAAAAAAATAAAATAAAATAAAACAAACGCTTGTGTAGTTGAAGTTTAGAACACTAGTATCAATATTTTTGATAAATTATTATCAATAACCAATTGAGATGGGGACGCCACATAGATATGTACTCTAACCCAAGTATAAGAGATGAGTGAGATGATCTGTTTCACTTCGTTGCAGAGCTGTTTCATTAGACAGACCATTTATTTAAAACCAATGGTCAGGGATAGCTGGGTCCAGTTTGAAACCATCGAAAAGCTACTAACTTTGTTTAGAATAGAACCGGTGACCTTTTGATTGTGAGGTGAGTAGTATAAGCACTCGGCTACCCAGCCAGTATTGTAATGTTTAAGCACATACATCTTAAGTTCCAGCCAATTGACTTCGAAAAACAACCATAAAACATCTCGAAATCATAAAAATTACACTCAGATCTATGTATTGTAGTTTGACAGTAAAACACAAACTTGAAAAGTACTGTACTTTTGGTTTGGGTCAAACTTGGGCTAGTTATACTTCAAATTGAGTTATTTCGACAGAATTGTAGGAGTAATTGTGTGTTTTATGTCGCTTCCACACGTACCACATAAGCTTGGAACATAAATTGTCGTTCGAGTTCCCATTTGGCGCCTTCCAGTCGATAGAGTCTGTTCCAGTATTCCTCACAGACCTCCGCAATGTCCTCTGGAATTGTTAGAAAATGGTTATAACATATTTAAACATTTTAAATTAGATAAGCATTATTTTTTAGCTTCGACCATGGTAGAAACAATTCATTCTAACCACATTTCAAGTTGTACCTACAACGTTGGCATGGGAGCTGGAGTAAAATATTGTTACAAGTCAGGAGCCCCGCGCAACAATAGCCAGGCGCCGTCTCAAAAGGATTGTTTGTCTACACGGATTTCTCCGAACGTGCCAGTGACAGACAATAGACCCATGTCAACGGACTACCTCAATAGGGGCCCAGAAACTTCTACCGTTCTATGGCGTAAACACCTTTGTTTAGGCTACTAGGGGTCTCCAGAATGTTCCACGGCAAACTTATATAAGGGACCGTCTTCCGGCCCACGGCAGTTGAGTTGAGTTGAGTCTTCCGAGAATCGGCGCAGCAACCGCCCGTCGGTGTTAGTGACCAGTGCTAGTGCTAGTGGCAGTGCCGCAGTGTAGTGACGGTGTAGAGACAGTGTAGTGACACTAGTGACAGTGTAGTGACACTAGTGACAGTGTAGTGACAGTGTTGTAACAGAAGTAGTGATAAATCCTGTAGAGGCTAGCTGTAAGTAGAAACATTGTAAATTAGAATAGGCATTAGCTAGGTTTAGATAGGGTTAGTTAGTTGTTAGGTAATTTTAATATTTGTAAATAGAGAATAATACGTGTAAATAAAAAAGGTATTATAAAATCGCCAAGTTTTTATTGTAAGAACCTGTCAAGCCCGCAACAATATTCTAAAGTTATAAAGATATATTTAAATATATTTGAATTAATTGACTGGTAATTATAAATTATTTTTCTGAAAAGATTATTTCATTACTTTCAGCTGTAGGAGTTCTCTATTACAGAGGAAGCTCCCTTGCTAATATATCTTTTTCTTTAAAAGTATAAAAACATATTGGGGAGGCCTGACTATTGGGTCACCAAATAATTACACAGGTAACTAAAGGGCATCAGCGATCTAACACATACTTTCCCCCATTAGCTTGTCAAAACCCCTTATAATGGGCAAGGGGTGAGAATAACTATAATGTTTTATGAGTAAACTTTCGAAACGTAATTTTTACAGCATTGGGGGTTGTACATTTTTGCTCAGCGTTGAAAGGGACATAACATATCTAATATTAATTGAAGTTTACAAAAAATCTAACTCGAAAATGTTGATGAAAATACTTTCCCAATGTACTATGTATACGGGGAGAAAGTAAAATCAATCTGTAATGTGTTGTGACTACCGTAGGCCCTGAGGACCGTAGCTCGCGCTCCAACTGTAAGACAAGCCACTATTCCCTTCATTTATACATTTCGACAAAATATTCACTGCTTATGAATTCGTAAAAGATGTTGAATAGTAAGTTAATTAACAACATAACAGTATATGTTAAGATACCTTCCATCCCCCATTCAAGGTCCTCTGGTTCTCCGCATCGTTCTTCGATGATCCTCAACCTCTGTTCCGCCTGTCGCTCCTTCTCCTTCTGAATTTCTTCAGTTGCCTTCTTGCGAATGAAAAGCTGTGAAAGATAAAACATAAGTAAAAGTGCTGTTACAGAAACAAACTTTTTTAAAGTGATAAGCTTTTCTTAATATGTCAGAGCTAAGAAGGTTAGAAATAATAGCATTCAAAAAAGGTCATACGTTTTAAAAGGAAGTTAGAGGAGTGGCACTGTTACCTTTAGTAGTTTGTCACAAACGAAAATGATTTAACAGAAACGCTACGGATGATTGATAAAAAACTTTTTTGTGCCAAGATTCGTTCAAAGAGAATGTGAAAAAAATTTGAAAGTGTTTTAGACATGCGTGATTCCATTTAAGTCTAAATACCATCAAAGAAAATAAAACCATATATGCCCAAGCAAATTTCGGTTGGTAACTTTTTACTAAAATAAACCCGCCAAGACCTGTATTGCAAATCGGGGAAAATGTGCAGCAGGACCAAAAACATTTATGAATTATGAACTTTTAATTCAAACTAAAACGTATTGACGATTGTTTACACCAAAAATTTAATTACTTGTCACATATATGCTGAGCAAGAAGAAGAACCTTTTCCCAATAATAGAAATGAAAATCTACTATTCTTTTCCAGCTAGTATAAAGGATCTAAATCAGCTAAGAAGTAAGATTTTATAAAGGGCTTCTCAACGGGGAAGATTTTAAGGGCATATAAATGCCTTTCTATACTAACTCCATACAATTATGGGTAAATATTTTACAAGAATTCGAAAAAAAAACTGTCTCAAATTCTTACCCTGAGTTTCTTCTTACGCTCTGGTGTCATGAAGCCCTTCTTGGCCCTCCTAGCCTTGGAAGCTTCCTCCATCTTGGCTCTTAACTCCGCTTTACGCATCTCAATCGCGATCTTCTTGCGCATTTCCTCCTGGAAAACAATAAATCAAGCTTGAAGTAATTATTAAATAACATTCTTAAAACAATTCCAATCAAGAGGTGGAAGTTGGACTAGAATAATCAATACATTTAACAATTAATGAAATTCTTTGAAAATGGAAGAGGATTTGTGGTGAGTAACGCACGTAGCAACAAAATAATTTTATCGCATTCTGGGTGTGTCTTTAGAATCTCATGAAATCAAATCAAATAAGTTTTGTTCTATGAATATGTTTTGTTTAATGTATGTAGTTTTGTTCATTTATTAAAACTTTTTAAATGTTTCTAGAATAAAATTGGATTTTATTGTAAATATTAAATCCTCTACTAAAAGATAATCATTTTGATTTATTTTATAGGTCAATGAATTATGTTTTCTAAGGTTTCATTTATATAATAATGAGACACTTACTTATCTATATCAATAGAACACTAAATATGCTTAATTCGAATCAAGAACAAAGGCTATAATTACCTCTTCCTCCCGTTGTTTTTTCTGAAAACAAAAAAATAAAATCAATGAATCTTATGTGTATTCACATTCAATATTCACTATCATCCTAGATCTTAGAATAACGTGATATTCTATTAATGGAATAACATATTTCAAGAGATCCAACAGCAGCGGAGAGCGTTGAGCTTTAATATTTCATTTTAGTTCACCTAAAAAACTAATTCAATATTCTATGACGTATTTTAGCAAAGTCACAGTCACTGCAACAATTTTATTGAATGGTATATTTTTTAGTATAATTACCATACCAATGAGTACTAACAATGACACATTTGAATAACCATGTATAAAGTAATAATTTTGGTAACACTTTTAAATACTAAATTTGTATTTGTATTATAAATGCAAAGGTTAGTAAAATTATATCATTTCTTCATTTCGATGCATGGCCACTATATATAAGAAAGCTGTCAAGGTTACAGTGTAATTTTGCACCGGATATTACATTTCAGTTTGTTAGTTTTGAAAATCCGACAAGATTAAGCCCTCATCCCTCCTTGAAATGCATGGAAATTGTGTAATCCTAATAGGATTTTAGGAACCAAGATTGTATTTAGTCTCATGCATAACTTATGCATGAGACTATGGTATATCCAATGGTAACACTACCATTGAAAACCAAAATCTAAAATGTATGATTCATTCTTAAACATATTAACTTGGTTTATCAAAGTTTTGACATAATACTTTCCCTGGTTAACTATTTTCATAAAACCATACATAAATTGATCTGGCTATGATGGCATTAAAATACTTGATTAAATATTGTAATTTACTTGTATAGTTCTTTTACGTAGTATTCATAAGTAGAGAAATAAACCTCTTATTTTTTACAATTTAAAATTAATTTAATGCTCGTGCATAACCTTTTCTTTAGCCATCTGCCTACGCCATTCGCTATAGAATAAAGGAATATCTTTATTTTTATACAAGACTTTAAGAGAGTGTAGTAATAATCTTATATTAAATTAATTATTGTTACTAAGTTATATTAATGTTACCGTACGATATTATCAAGAACAATTTAACGAGTAATATATTGATACAGATTACAGAAGAATCTTGGAAAATACTTGAATTTTAAATTTTACTTCAGAGGTTCCATAAAAGTTCCAAAAGGTTATAAAATGTATAATTCTTTATCAAGGCTAAATTTCGTAAAACAATTCAATTTTCTCAAAAATAGGTTAAAGATAAATACTTTTCCAATAAACATTCCAGCACCAACTGATTGGTGAAGTTAAAACTAACATTTCCTTAAATATAAATGATGACATTTGTAGAAATGTTATTAAAAGTTTGGAGCCAACGATGTTGTTTGCAAGCTTATTATGCTCATTGAAGTATGACAAGTCGAACAAAAGAGATGCCAACACATGTAGGAGTCGGGTCACAAACAATGAGAGTAACTCTCGAGCAAAACTTCTAACTGCCAATCGAACTAAGTTGATGGTAATTACCAATGAGTTTGAAACTTACCAACATTGCAGCCAGCTCTTTCTGCAACAAGGGAATCACTGTTAGAGTTTCATTGAAGCCCATTCAAAACTCGGAACTACTTTGGTACTTAATTTTGACATTGGGGTCAGCATATCCTAACTTCGATTTCCATTGGTGTAGTAAGATTTAATAAATTGAATATTGAAAGTTTGTGATTTAACATTTTTCAAAGCTATAATTAATTTAAAGTTATACGCCACAGAGGAGTAAGATACCGTGCTTCTTTGAGAACATACATACGTTAGAAGGACGCACGGTTGTTATACATAGTTAATCAAAAGGTAAATATAATAATTTTGTTAAACACCAATAATATATTTTAAATCCTACTGTTATACCTGAGTAAAAGTACAACTTCTCACAATTTAACATATTTAATTTAATTAAGTGATAACGATTTCTAGAATTTCTAGACAGCTGAAACAGTGGTAAACAGAATAACAAAAAAAAAATACGTATGAATATGATGCAAAAGGGAAATAAATCACATTCGTAATACACAATTAAACACATTTCATCTAACACATTTTAAAACGGAGTGTTAATAGTTTTCAAATAATAACCCTTAAAAATAAAATTATGTACATGGTAGAATTCGGTACTTTTTGTATTTAAATGAGTCAAATGACACAAAATATAATTCAGCATGACAAATTGACCAATTGAAAACATGTTTATTTAATCATCTAACTAGGCCCATCAAAGTTAACTTAAAAATCTTTGGGAGAATTGAATGAAAAACAAAAAAATTAAAGATATTGATTGGATCTCAAAATTATAAATACAATTTAAACTCTCTAAACAAATTTCAATTTCCATCCAAAAAAAACAAATATTGATGTGAACACTAATCCGACTAGAGACAAATTTAAATATCCTTCACAGCGTAGCATCAAGTTCCAAATACAATATGACGACTTCCGTTACCTCGTCTACTGGTGGTGGAGGGGGTCCTGCGGGCACTGGAGGCTCGGCCGGCGCAGCGGGATCAGCGCCCTCAGCAGGTGGCGCCCCATCAGCCGGAGCTCCCTCTCCACCCTCCGCAGGGGGTGCTCCGTCGGCAGGTGGCGCGTCTGCTGGTGGCGCGTCTGAGGGTGGCTCAGCGGGCGCCTCTGTAGCCTCGGCGGGGGCTTCAGCTGGTGGAGCCTCCTCAGGGGCTGCCTCGGGGGGCGCAGCTTCTTCATCTGCCATGTTCAAGGATTATTTTCTATCTGTAAAAAGAAATTTTGAATTAGGAACTTATAAAATTAGGTGATGTTTAATTGTTGTATCATATAAAGATCAAATACTCATTATAAATCTAAGAAGCATGTATAAGTTGGTATAATCGAGTAAACTCTGAAGAAATAAGAAGTTAATTACGGCTTAAATTTTGTTTATTACTTTAGGCATTATTTTGTCAAGGCAATAACCTAAATACATTATATTTGTAAAATATTACTCATATTGTAAAAGCTAAGTAAATTTTACTTGTACAACATCTGAACTCTGATCACATTGTAAACTTAATGAACTATTGTTATGATTCCGAAAATCTCAAAATTGTTTTTATATTATTTTTTTGGATAAAAATATTTTCAAGCAATACTGTAGTTTTTGGTGTAACTAGTGGGCGAAGTGGCACTTTACTGCACGTGGAAAGTTTCTCGAGTGTTTTTCCCACAGTTTTTTCCTACAGTCGAGTTTTTCCTACAGTTACTATAAAGCTTATAAAAAAATAGTCTTTCAAACACTGTACAACACATTTTAGGTTAGGTTAAATCCAAACATTGAACGAAATGGGAAATGCTGCACCAGCTGATCGTAGTCGTCACATCTTTAAGTGTTGCCAACTTATTTTCAAGCGTACACGTATTACGTGCCCAATAAAAGCACGCTGTTTTGTTTTGTTTGGTTGGAATACTGGAATGCGGAAAAAGAGTGCGGCTAATTAAGTAAATGCAGCAGTTAGCAACATTCTGAGCTATGATTAGTGCAAGAAATGCAACTTTGTCAGGTGACAGCGGGAAAAAAAACATTATTTAACAACAAAGATTCTGGTTAATGTTAGGTATAAATAAGTTAACAATAGAGAGAAATTAACAAACAATTTCAATATACCGTTACCGATATTATTATAAGGAGCTATAGTTAGTTATGTCGATTTCTATATGGTGAACTACTTGGTGAAGATTTTGTTTTTAAACTTCAAGAACTCCATTTAAAAATCCGGTTAGTCGAAATGTTTTTGATTAAAACAACATATGTTGTTCCTCACCTAAAAATATCCTGGAATGAGTACTGAATAGGCCTACTATATTTTATATTCTAAAAACATTTCTATTCAACCATTTTACTCAAACATTTTCGATATGGGCTGTTTCATCAAAATCCCCACTACAAAATGTCATATGCCATCCATCAAAGTCACATCTTCATATTCTCATCTTAAAGTCACGTCTCCGAAAGAAGCAATGCTCGTGGTAATGACATACAGCATGTTTACTTCCAGAACGATTTCATACCACCAAGTGGCAATCCACTTTTCGACATCTAATATTAAAATGATTGAAGACATTTTTGGTATGGGTTTTTATGACTTTTGAGGATTGTAAGTTGTAAGATTTGCAAATCTCTTTCAATTTCAAATCTCTGACTTGCAAATACTGTACGTTTTATCTAATCATTTTTAGTCAATGGCTCAAAACGTTCGTTGGAACAATTTACTTCAAAACAAGATTAAGGGCAAATAAATCCAGACTTAAACATTGCTTTGTAATCTAAAAAGGCCTTTTTAGATTACAAAGGATCTTCTTAGGTCATAAACAACATTAAAATAGCATGGTAGCGGTGTCGTAGTGATCACCTAACAATCAAAAAGTTGCCGGCTCAATAATGAGAAAGTTCAGGCACTTTTTAGCGAATTTCCCATATAGGGAATAAGCTATTACCGTAGTACTCATGGTAAGACCTGGACCCGGGACCGATTTTTTTCGTTTTGAGGTCCCTAGAGGCCAAAAATAGCATCCGTTCAAATTCATATATATATATATATATATATATGTGTGTGTCCGTTAGCACGATAACTCGAGCAAAAATGATCCGATTTTGATAAAATTTGATACAAACGTGTAAACCTACGTTTATTCGAACGAGTTCGCGAACCAGCATGATCGGACCATGGGAACGGGGGTTTATGGGGGCTTTTATGGGGTAAAAATGGGTTTTTTCCCATTTTTGAACCAAAAAACTTAAATTTTTGCAATTTCTTTCCAAACTATTTTGTAGAGCTTAAAAAAACAAATAATTTAGTATATTGAAGCGTTATAATGCGCCTAATTCAAAAAATTGTAAATTTAAAATTCCCATGTTATTCTTATGGAGGATAAGTAAACTGTTGTAGTTTGCTTATTTATTAACATATTTTGCCCAAATTTGGAAAATGTTTTTATTTCTTACTAACTATTAACATTTTACATAAAAAAAACACTTTAACCCTCCCTGTTGCAGCAAACCTAAGTATGTGTTAAACTGATTCAATTTAAATAGGGAATAAATGTGATATTTTTAAGGAGACATTTAAGTGTAAATCCAATCAGGCAAATGGAAATTCGCTTAGTCTGCAGGTTGTCTGCGGCGGGGGTATTATTGATGGTTTGAAACTGGACCCAGCTGTCCTAGATTAGCTGTAAAAAACGCCAACGGCCAATGAAACGGCTGATCTTAGTCAGTAACAAAGCTGCAAAAGCATCTAATTTTGTTCTACACTCATTCTTCTTTCACATTTGGTATAAAATAAATAGATGGAATCCTTATTTCAACTGGTAATATATAATATTGTGTAAAAACTTAATATTGTCAACGTTCAATTAAGTAAAGTTATTTCTTCATCAACACAATAGTGCAAATCCTATTGGTGATTGTAAATGAAAATATTTAAAATATAACTTCTCCTAATAAGGATAGGTCCTGTATTTACATGTATTGGTCCCTCCAATTTTGTTTGGACCCAATAGCAAAAAAAGAGCCTATTGTTTGAGACAGACTAAGAATAAAGTATTTCAGATGAATGTGCCTGATGTGAAAACTGATCGATGTCAATCTAATCTATTTTTCGGTTTTCCCTTTGGGGTTTTCCAATACATGCAAAACGTTATTATTAGAGTTTTTAACCAATATTTTTGATACTGAATATTTATAGTAGTTTACGCAACGATCGTGTAAGGCTAGTTGCGTACACTACTTTACCTACGCTCGTTTCTTAATTACTCAAATTAACTACTCACAACTTCCAAGAGATGTTATATTTTTGTTTATAACCTCACATTACCACTGATTGTGATGTAACGATTTATTAGTTGTCCCAATCACTCAATCATTTTATTTTTATTAATTAAATTAGTCTTAACAACTGATAAGTTGACGTTCAAAGTATTACAGTTTTACTTCTTTCTCTCAATCCTTGAACCTCATTGGTCCGTTACTCGTGTTGTAAAGTAAAACAACAACACTGTTAAGTAAGAAAACAATGCTGTTAAGTAATTCTTTTCAATTCTAAGAACTGAGCTGAAACGGCTAATTTAAAAAAAAACGGTCAAAGGTAAATACTCTCATTTAAATGAAACCAAACCTAAATTTACAGTAGGCCTACACTTCTTTCAACCCAAATGCGAAAAACTGTTAATTAGTATTTACTCTTATTGCATAAGATTATTTGACACCTTAATGACCCACAACTACCTACTACAATAAACTTCAGTGTTGGTTTGCCTTACGTAGTAACCATAGTATGTCATTCAATCAAACTGTAGCATAAAAATTGTTTTAAATAATACATAACTCTTTTTGAACCATGATTGAATGTCCCCACCTCGAGTGAAAGAGTTCGCTAACCTAAATATTTTTAAACTTTCCGACTACAATCTTGCCAAACATAATGTTTGCCTAAAATGCAAAATTTATAATTCTTTCACTCTATAATCGGATATTTTAGAGTCTTCATTTGCGGATTTAAAGTACCAATTTGCATTCCAACAGGTTAAAATTGCTTACCTGTAAATCTGTTTAAACGTCCCCATAATATACAGTAATATACTACAACGAAAACCAAGTATTGAATAAATGTATACTACTGATAACCAGTAATTAATTATATAAAACTCATTTGATTAAAATATTTTTGTATTTTAAAGAAAAACTAATCAATATAAATACGACTGGGTTATTTATGTGTTATTGTTATTTTCTGTTCAGACTTATAAAATCACTAAAACCTTTTAAACACAAGTCTTTTGTAGTAACCTAAAAAACTAAAATTAAAGTAAGACATTTTGAGTTGAAGCTAAAAGCTTAGAACCTTTTTTATAGGTTGTATTTTATTTTACATTAAATAGTCTAATTAAAATCAAATCCTATTTCCTTAGCTGATGAAAGGGGCCAAACCTTCTTCATAAACATGAAAAAATACACAAAGGTATTGTTTGTTTATTTAATGTAGATAAAAAACGAAAAAAAAACAGTATTTCCATTAGCAAATTTTAATAAAATATCTTGTTTTGCAGTCATTAAATTTTTATCAGTTTTCATACGTGTGATCAAGTACAATGGGACCCAGAGCGTATGATAGATGCGGGCTGTCATGGTGCAGATGTTCAATGTGCAATGTGCATGTAGCCTACCTGCGCGTGTCAACTAATCTAGGCTTTGCGTTTCACATACTGTCCATCCTACAACAGAGGCTTACATCCTTGATGGACAACGGTCAGTCAGTCACTTTGACACGAAAATAAATATTCAATAAATATCTGACAAAACTGTATTTTGTTACATGTGAAAAAAGTGTAGCTTTTCCAGAAAGTCTCTATAATGTTTAAAACTTAGGATTGGGTGGCTATTTCAGTCTGTGTGTGTCAATACGTCAATTCAGCAAAAATATTGAACAATTAAATGCAATGCATTTAATGCAAAATAAAAACTACTTAGTGTACTTTTAGTTGAGTATTTTGCGTCTTATTCCAGGAGGAGTGATATTGTAAAGAAATGAATATTGAAGAATGTTATCATACTCACTACTTTCTATTTCACTATGTGTTACATTTAATGAAGAGAGCGAACACTCTTCCTCCATTATGTTCGGAAGAATATACCGAGTAGAATAACTTGTGTGTTAACCATTAATAAACAAGGTAGTGTAAATATTTGTCTTTGGTTTTGTAAGTGTCTAGCTTTGAGA